AAACCACCGCACTTCAATAAAGTCCTATATACTTAACCTAAACCCAACAGAAAAAAAAATCATCTCAACTAACATCTTCCAAAAACCTTCCACAATGAACCCTCCTTACCCGGTCAGCCCGCAAAGTTCAACAAATGCACTCACAAATCAGAACTGCACGCTTACATGTTGACGACAGGCCTGGATCCAGCGAGTATAGCCGGCATGGCGGCAGCGGCAGCCGTGACCGGCGAATACCCACCGCCCGGGGCCGGAGCGGGGCCGCCCGAATTCCTGCCAGGCCCACCGGGCCAGGGTCCGCCCGTACCCTCGGCCGGCAGTCCCGGCGAGTTTCTAGCGCCTACAGGTACGTACACACCTTTTTTCTCCTCCTCCTCCAAGAGGCGGCTTTATCCTTTACACGTGTGTCCATATAATATATACACACACACACACACGCTCGTCCACACCTTCTTTGTTCTTCTCTGCTTACCACCCATTATCGGCCACTCTCGTGAACGTGTATACGGTCGCGTGAGTTATGATACCACGCGCGAGCCGCGCAACGATCGTTTATGGTGATTTTGAGGGAGTTGCGAAACGGTAGTTCTGAAACTTCGCCCTCGGGACATTGTTATTTTTCACTTTTCGAGCGGCGCTGTTGCTCTGCATTGTGCGGCGGGAGTCGAGTTGATTGTAGAGGAGGGAGAGGAGGCGATGGTGCGCCTTCAAATTAGACCGCGCCAGGGTTTTTGGGAGGTATAGCAGAAAGTTTTTTTTTTTTTCAACGACGTGCTCTGTAATGCAAAAAAAAAAAAAAAAAAAAAAAACATAACAGTGGACAACAATCTTCATTGTAATCAAGCTTTTCCCTCAGGTGTCGAATACACATCAGTCGCGTCTTGTAATACACACACAAGAGCGTAGTCCTTTCTTTTTGTATAAATTCAACAAGGTGTTGTGCTAAGAGTTTAATTTGTAAATACATAGCCATAATAACGATGCGGTGGCATTGCAATTTACGCGCCCAAGTGACTTTAATGCGACACAACTGGGTAACAACCCGAACGCATAACTTGTATCTTATCTCTGGCACATATACCCCGCGTAAAATTAAATCGACAACGCCGCGTTCCCTCTCGTTTAATATACTACCCACATAATTTCGTACTCGAGAATAATTCGACCAACACCACGCAACGTCCGCTGTGCAGGTTCAATAGATGGCGACGCGGAGACGCGGGACAGCCAGACGGACAACAAGAGCCCCGACGGTGGTGCTGGCGGTGGTAGCGGGGACGGCGGGGCTGGCTCGAAGCGCCGGGGTCCCAGGACGACGATCAAAGCCAAGCAGCTCGAGATACTCAAGACCGCCTTCTCGCAGACGCCCAAGCCGACGAGGCACATACGCGAACAGCTGGCCAAGGAAACGGGACTGCCCATGCGTGTCATCCAGGTGTGTATACTTTTTTTTTTCCTCAAGACTATACGTACAAGCTTTTGGTTACCGAAGGGCTGCTAACTTTCTTTTTTTTTAAGAAAAAAATCAAAGGTGACATGAAAAACATTTCGTTTTAAGATTTTTTTTATTAGTATAGGTTGCTCATTTTTTTAAATCTAAATATATTATATAAGAGCGTGTAAAAGAGATTTGGCTGATAGTTTGGTGGATTCCTTGTAGTATCCTTAAATAAAAAAATTAAATTGTCAAAGGATATCACAAGTCTTTTTACTCGAGATCTTTCACTTCTTTATTAATTATCATGAAAATTAATGTAATTGTTTGTGCTTATACAGTCAAGTTGTAGTGAACCATAAGTTCAGAGTTATGAAAGTTGCACGACACGGTACTTGCATGAAATGTTACCCGTGGCATGAGATCGGTAATGAACTATGAGACATTGGGTTCTTCTCATACTTTTTTTTTTTTTTAATAAAAATCAATACGTCCTCAAATCGTATTTATTGTTATCTGCCATTCACTACAGCTCAACTGTTAACATAAATTTTAAAAAATCAATACAAGTGCGACAAAAATCAACAAAAACGTGTGATATCTCGAGTATCTTCCTTTCATCGTGAGATATCAGGGCCCATCTGTCAAAGTCTCGTAAAAATCCGTTCCCCGGAATCTCTATTCGAGAAATATACGTCGTTATGATCACAATTGCCACGCACCTTTTTCGCGTGTAATCCCAAAAATATTTCTCACGGCGATCAAAAACTTCATACCCTCAACCCTTGCTCATGGACACTAACTACATCCATAATTCAACATCCCAACCGAAAAAGTGCACCCAACACCTTACCACCGTAAAAAACACCTCAAACCAAAATTTACCAGTGTCTAAAAAAAATAATTCACACCCAAAAAAAAAAAAAAAAGACGGTCCCCCAGTATCGCGTAACACGTGCGTATACACAGAAGCAAAGAGTCTCACCACCGTCGTACGGTTTTTCCCAGGTATGGTTTCAGAACAAGCGCAGCAAAGAGCGCCGGCTGAAGCAATTGACGTCGATGGGCAGGAGTCCATTTTTCGGTGGTTCGCGCAAGATGCGCGGCTTCCCGCTCAACCCGAACCACGGGCTCTTGGGCGGTGAGGACGGACCGCCGCCGGGCTTCTCCTTCTTCGCTGACAAATTCGCCGACTACGGCTACGGGGCGCCAGTGGCCTTCCATCACGAGTTCTTCGGCGCCCATCCGCCCCCGCACCCGCACGGGCCACCCTTCGGCGGGCCTGGTAATCCTGGTGAGTAGAGAATTTTTTTTCCCTACCTCAAGCTTGGAGAGTGGTGGTTCGTTTTTTTTTTTTTTTTTTTTTTTTTTTATTGCATTGGGGACTCTTGTCCGAGGACTATTTTTTTGGTACTCACTAAATTCTTTTTTTAATGACAGAATTTTTAGTATTTGGATCCGATTTCTTTCGACATTTTTCCCCATGAGGAAGAGATGGAGACCCTTGAGAGCATTTTTGAACTTTTTTTCTAAAATTTTTGTTATGTATATGCATGTTGACTGGCGAGACATTTATCAACGATTTCTCTTCAATGATTAGAGACACAGCTAAAAAATTTTCTTTTAAAAACACACGATTTTAATTTATTTTAACTACGTAGAGTTATCTCCGAGAATGTCTTATCTTTGTTAGTATTTTTATTGATCTTTTTAATAATATATAGAGACATTATTTAACCATTTTATGTCGAAGTACAGCTCGTAGGCTGTTGTGATAAACACACAAATAATTTATTTGTTATTTATTTATTTCATACTTCGTCCCTTTCGGGTTTGGAGGGCTTCCATTACATTTCTTACAACTTTACATATTCTATACTATTAATACTATTAAAAAATACACAAATAATATTTATAAAAAAAAAAATTTCAATCTCCAAATATTCAGAACAAGAGTCAGGATAAACCACCGCACTTCAATAAAGTCCTATATACTTAACCTAAACCCAACAGAAAAAAAAATCATCTCAACTAACATCTTCCAAAAACCTTCCACAATGAACCCTCCTTACCCGGTCAGCCCGCAAAGTTCAACAAATGCACTCACAAATCAGAACTGCACGCTTACATGTTGACGACAGGCCTGGATCCAGCGAGTATAGCCGGCATGGCGGCAGCGGCAGCCGTGACCGGCGAATACCCACCGCCCGGGGCCGGAGCGGGGCCGCCCGAATTCCTGCCAGGCCCACCGGGCCAGGGTCCGCCCGTACCCTCGGCCGGCAGTCCCGGCGAGTTTCTAGCGCCTACAGGTACGTACACACCTTTTTTCTCCTCCTCCTCCAAGAGGCGGCTTTATCCTTTACACGTGTGTCCATATAATATATACACACACACACACACGCTCGTCCACACCTTCTTTGTTCTTCTCTGCTTACCACCCATTATCGGCCACTCTCGTGAACGTGTATACGGTCGCGTGAGTTATGATACCACGCGCGAGCCGCGCAACGATCGTTTATGGTGATTTTGAGGGAGTTGCGAAACGGTAGTTCTGAAACTTCGCCCTCGGGACATTGTTATTTTTCACTTTTCGAGCGGCGCTGTTGCTCTGCATTGTGCGGCGGGAGTCGAGTTGATTGTAGAGGAGGGAGAGGAGGCGATGGTGCGCCTTCAAATTAGACCGCGCCAGGGTTTTTGGGAGGTATAGGGTGATACGTGGTTATTTTGGCTACCGAATTGTGAAGTGACTTTTTTTTTCTTTCTTTCTCTTTCTTTTTTTAGTTTCAAGGCTGAAACTTTGTTCCTTTCTCACGAGTCGTCGTCTTGTGGGTACATATATTGCATGCATGGTCGTTGGGAAAATGCACACGATTGCGCAAGAAAGATGTATACACCTGCACACGAAGTGGCGAAAAAAAAGGTGCAGGGTCTCTTTCAACCGTTGTACACGTGGCCGAGAATTTTTTAATGGTTGTTGCCGATTACGGATAATTGTATCGATTTACGATCGGTGTGATGCTTCTCCACAGATGTTTTTCAATAATATACTTTTACGGATTGTTTATATTGTACGGGAAAAGAACGAGTTTGCAAAATGCGAGCAGTTGAGCTGTCACAATTGGCCGTTTCGTTGTTTTCAATCGCAAGTGTATCCCATTTCCATAAGGGTGATTGTCCTTGTTTGCCACCCCCCTCCCTCGCATCTCTCAAATCCAGATGCAGGAGATCTCTCAAACGATTGAACTTATCACCCTTTGCGAGAGACGATGATGATAAATCAAGCTGTTTGCGCGAGCATAGGATTGCAAATGTAATTTGACGTGCGCGCGAGTACAAGTATGCAGGACAACCAGAGAAAGAGAGGGTGAAGGAAACTTTGCTTTCTCGTATGCGCGCGACGGACCAACGCTAAATACTTCCCACAAGGTTAGCGGCGATAAATCAATCGGCGCAGAGGTATCACGATTCGATAAAAAAAAAAAAAAAAAAAAAAAAAAAAAAAAAAAAAAAAAAAAAAAAAAAAAAAAA